TCTAATTCCTAAATAAATAAAAATGTATAATAAATAATAAATGTATAATAATAATAAATTTCTTTCGTCATTTCATCAAATAACGAATACCCGAATTTTGTTAGGGTAGCAAGCCTGAAAAGTAAAAAAATCCAAATTTTGTGCGCTGGCTTCGAAACGAAATCGTACGCACACAAACACCCGTGTATGTGAATGTGTACACGCATACATACAAAGATCAACCAAGCGCAGGCCAACCTTCTTCATCGCGCTCCGTTTAGAGACTGAGAAACAGAAAAATTTAATGAGAGAATGAGCGTAAGATGAACGAACGATGAGCGTAAGAAATCCGCTCTGGGGCCTGCTGGGGCCTGTCGCAAGAAATTTTTGCGTCCATTTTCGTTGTATGAAATGGGTTGTCTATATGCTGTATGGTTAGTGGTAAAAGTCATCTTTTTATTAGCAAGCTTGGTCACACTCAATTTAATTAAACCTGTCGACTTCAAAGGGCTATGGAAATACGTATACAAGTTACCTGCCTGCCTCTGCCAGGCTTTCAGGCGAGCTTCCATTAAGGCGGAGGGCAGAAATACACAACCCAGGGGGCGGACCACCCACTCCCCTGGGCTGGGGGAAGGTATTTTTGGGTGTAGGTCAAGTGCAGGCGTTGACAAATTGCCGCCACTGCTTGCGTGCTGTATTTTGAATAATCCTCGTTGCATTTGACAGGCGATGGCATGGAATAACAATAATAATGACAGCACCTGGCCTGCACTCGAGCGCCCTCTATATGTTACACACACACCCAGGTATATATGTATCTCTCCCGACGCCAGTCCATCCTTTTCCGACTTTCGCTGAAGAAGGCAGCGTCACCTGCCGCTTATCATCGTCATCGCCTTCGTCTGCAGGCGATTATAGCGGGTGACGTCAGCGGCAATCGACAGTGGGGGGCGCGATGGTAGGGACACTGGAGGAGAGGTTCCACCATTAAATTACATAATGTGGTGGAACTGAAACGGAATTACTTGAGTTTGAAGATATTAATGAATAAGAGAGTAGGGATGAGCTAAAATTAAATTTTTAATTTATATTTATTGATGAACTATAGTTATCATTCCATAAAGATAGGAATCAGATAGGAATAAAGATAGGAATCGGTGAATAAAGAGCTAATATTATTGATCCATATTCATAAGCAATCTTATGCTTCTTATAAGAAACATGATTAGTCTTTGAATAAATTATTATAGTGGTCTAGGCATGATTTTAAATGGAAATGAACTCCTGAAAAGGAAAGAAAAGGTTCATTCTATAAATTAATTCCGTAAAATGAATATAAATGAATGAATATACCGAATAAATGAATTCCTGAGTATACCTATTCATATTAACATCGATAACTCCTAATTGAACCAAGATTCAGTAATAATTCATATCTGACTGAGCCTATTCCATGAATGAATCAAAAGTGGTTGAATGACTTCAGGAATGAACCAATATGGATATGAACTCATGAATTCAGCTATTCTGTGAATGAATTGTTAAATGAATCAATGAATGATCTTTGAATGAGTTCTAAATGAGTGAATTTATGAATAAATCAATAAATTAATGAACTATTTAATTACTTTAATGAAATATGTATTAATTATTCAGTAAGGAAATCCTTTTAAATATATTTCGTTGGTGTCTTAATAGTTTAATTATTTAAAACTCATCCAAATTATTTTACTTTATTATCAAAGTGTTTAAAATATTTGATTTTATTTATATATTAATTCATATTATTAAAATATATTAATAAATTATATTAATAAATTATATTAATAAATTAGGGAAACCCCATTTCGTTGCCATTATTTTGACCTCAGGTGTGAGTGTCAGCGTGCTACGTGCCAAAGTCCCTGTCTCAGTCGCTGCCGCTGCCTCTGCCTCTGCTTCGGCCGGCGTCGATTTTCACACGCTGCAAGCCAAGGGAGGGGGGTGGGGTGGGGTCATTGTGTTGTTTCTGTTGTTGGGGCTTCGGTTTTTGGTTTCGTTTGCCGCTTGTCGCTTGGCCTTTTGGCTTCTCGATGCTTCCGCGCACTCATTCACGCACATTCTCTAGAGAACAGAGACAGAGAGAGAGAGAGAGAGAGCGCCAAAGTGGGAGGTAGTGGGTGGTGGTGGGAGTAAGAGTGGTAGTGGGGGTCTGCCCTTAACAGCTGTTTGTTGTTGGTTTCTGGCACTTGTTGTGTGAAAAATGGACTAAAAATCACGTTCCGGCAACTGACAACTCAATTGAAGATTCTCAGTTTGAGTTAAAAGTTACAAAAAAATAAATAAAAAATACTAAGAATTAAATGAATAATATTAATAAATAATATTAATAAATAATATTAATAAATAATATTATTCTTTCGAATCGCCACAAAAACGCTCGCAAAAGACACTACTTAATAAAATTAATAAAATCAGATGATAAATAAAATTAAAAACTAAAAATTAAAAAAAAAGTGAAAAAAAAACAAACGCATAAAAAACCGCTCGCAAATCGCGCCGCAAACGCATCAAAACCGCTCGGAAAACGCACCAAAAACGCTCGGAAAACGCACCAAAAACGCTGATCAACCGCGCGGGGCTAAAACCCGATCGATACCTTGTGCTCGTGAATGGTTTTCTAAACACGTTTCCATGTCTTGTGATTGCAGAGGACTTTTTGAAGAAATACCGAAAGCAAGAAAAGCCAAAACACCAAGGAAAGCGGAAAAACTGTTGAAAATAATGAAAAACTGAAAGAAACGAGAAAAGAGTTGCCTTAACAATGAAACTTCCTTGTTGACTTACATATACATATATACAAGTACATATACAGTATACATATATACAACCAATATTATATACACACCATATACAAAAAAAAAAAAAAAAAAAAAACAAGAAATTAAAATTAACGAACGGAGGATCAAGCAGAAGTATATATATTTGTATATATTTTGGATACGAGAGAGGAACACGACCAACACATACGCACGCCTATCACGAAGATGCGCCTAAAAGAGACCACAAAAAAGAGCAACGCCGTCAAAACCGCAACGCTGCCGCCCCTGTCCGGCGATCTGCTCCGCTCGCTTCACATCTCAACGCCGCAGCACCACCACCAGCACCAGCAGCAGCAGCAGCCGCACCATCAGCAGTTGCCACATCAGCAGCACCACCAGCAGCGCTGCTCCAGCGTCGGCAGCACCAGCAGCAGCGGTACCTGCGAGACGGACCGCTCCACCCACTCGACCGCCTCCGCCTGCTCCGCACTGTCGCCCGCCGGCATGATGCCTGGCTTGGGTGCGGGCGGGGAGGGCCTGCTGCCCGGCGGCCCCGGTGGCGCCCCCCCCGGACCGGGGCCCAGCGACGAGGCCGCCGCCGCCGCCGTTCTGGCCGCCAACATCGCCGAGTCGTTCACGTTCCTGCAGCAGCATGCGGCGCATCATTTTCGCGACATTTTGTACGCGGCCCACATGTTGGGAAGAGGTAAAGAGTCAAAGGAGTTGCACCTCCAGGAGGAGGTGGTGGGGTTGGGGTGGCACGGCGGGCATGGGGAGGGATGGGCGGGTGGTAGGATTGTTGCACGACCAGCTGCTGTTTTGGCCAACAGATTGCGGAGCCGTTCGACTGGTTTTCAGTACTTTTCGGCCAGGCCAACTTTCACTTTATGCATTGTTGCCGCACTTCATGTCGCATTGAGCACTGCCTTGCACTTGCCCCCTACAGTAGAAGCTCTCTAAGACGGAGCTGGGCAGTTCTATCTGAGCCAATTCATTCGAGAGTGTTCATTTCAGCATTCATTTTAATATTCATTTCGAGGGTGTTCACTTTTGCATTTATTTTAAAGCACTTCTTTTTAAGACTTAATATTTTTTCATTTATTTTAAAAGTGCTTACTTTAAAATACATTTTCGAAATGGTTTATTTCTGCATATATTTTACAAATATTCATTTTCCAACTGTAAATCGCAAATGAATTCATTACGCAGGTGTTCATTTTTAGATTCATTTGTAGGTTCATTTTTAGGTTAATTTTTAGGTTCATTTTCAAAAAGTGCTTGTTGAATATTCACTTTAAAAATTCTTTAATTTTACTTTTATTTTACAAATTCACAAACAATGATGAATGAATGAATGAATATTCATAATTCATTCATTTAATATTCTTATTCACCATTGTTTGCTCACCGCAAATATGTTCATTTTCAAAGCATTCATTTCACATTCATTTTTAAAATGTTTAATATTAATTTTAAAAATGGTTTCATGCTTTTTCAAACTTGTCTCTTTTTACATTCATTTTCAAAGTGTTTATTTTAATATTCATTTTCCAAATGTTCATCGCCAATGAGTTCATTTGACATTCATTTCAAGAGTGTTCACGTCAAAATTCATTTTCAAAAGTGTTTCTTTTTAATTTAATTTCAAAAGACCCAGCTCAAATTGGTTTGTTTTCAAGGATTAATTTTACAATAATTTTAAAAATGTTTATACTAATTTTTAAAATTGTTTATCTCTACATTCATTTTAAAAAGGTTCACCGCAAATGAGTTCATTTTCCAAGTGTTCATTTAAACATTCTGAATATTTAGTTACATTTTTGCATTCATTTTTGAAGTGTTCATTTTTGAATTCATTTTCGGAGATGTTTCATTTTTGAAATTCATTTTAAAAGGATATATGTCATCATTAGGAATCAAAGAATATATCATCTTTGAAGAGCAATTGTTGGCCAAAATACACTACCACCTTTTCCAACAAAATATTGTACTTTAGGGCCTCAACCATGCATATTTTAGAACTCAACCTGAAGAGATTCTTCTGTGCGTCGACTCTTCTATGTGTTTCTTTAACATTTTCAATATTTTCTCAATCATTTCATAAATAATTTCCATAAAAATAAATAAAAATCGATGGCTTTTTAACTAAAATATAGAAAATTAATGCAACTTCTGTTAAAAATATTTTTTAAATAAAATATATAATTTGCTTTGCAGGCTACTATCAGCCGGCTGGACCGCTGATATCGCCGCACGTGATCGCCGCGCCCCCGCCACCCGCGCAGGTGAAGAAGCTCCAGGAGGAGGAGGCCGGCAGTGTAGCCTCCTCGGCCGCGGGATCGCCCACGCAGCTGCAACAGCAGGCAGCAGCCGAAGCAGCAGCAGCAGCCGCTGCAGCTGCCGACCCAGCCACCCACTCCCACGCCCACTCCCAGTCGCAGAATCCACAGAGCCAGGCGCCACACCCGCCCCAGCCACAACCGTACTCGGCCAGCGCCGTGGCGGCCGCTGCTGCGGCAGCCGCCGCCCACCCGGGCGTACCCTACTCGCGGTCGATGCACGCGGCCCAGATGCACTACACGACGGCCTATCCGCCAAACTACTACGCGCCGTATCCGGGCGATGTCATGTGCTACTCGCCGCCCACCTACCAGCCGTACTTCTCCAGCAAGGTCTACCAGCCGGGCCCGCCGCCAGGTCCGCCCGCCCACCCCTCGCACGCCGGCCACCCGGGCGCCCATCCGCCGGGTCCGCCCCCGCCCCCGGGCGCCTATCGTCGCTATCCGTACTACCAGCACGCCGGGCCTCCGCCGCCGCCAGAGCTCTACGAGCAGCAGCAGCAGTCCCAGCCGCCCCAGCCACCGCCGTCGGTCGCCGGAGCGGTATCCGCCTCGGCCCAAGCGCCACCCGCCGGCAGCAGCAGCAGCAGTTCCGGAGCAGCGGCAGCAGCCGCCGCAGCAGCAGCCGCAGCCGCCGCCGCCGCAGCAGCCGCAGTAGCTGGTGTCCCGGCCGGCAGTCAGCTAGTGCCGGCCCATCCGCATCCGCAGCAGCCGCAGCAGCACCAGCAGCAGCACCTCGAGCACTACCCGGGTCCGCCCAGCTACTACGCCGGATACAGTCCGGGCGGAGGAGCCGCCGCCGCACAGTGCTACCCGCGCGGCCTGCAGGCACCGTACATGGGTAAGGAAAAGTATGGTTCCCGGGCAGGGCAGCAGTGCCCTCCAGTCCAGGATGACAGAGCTTGGTCCCTGAATCGTTTGAATCTAACTGTCCTCTTTCCTTGCAGAGTACCCGCCGCAGTGTCCTTGCCCAATGCCTCAATCGTGTCCAAAAAACGTCCATACTGGGCCTCATATTGGTAGCAACATCAGCAGCAGCACCAGCACCAGCAGCAGCAGCAACAACACAAGCCAGACGAGCCACAACAGCAACATGTTGCTGAGTGCCACCAGCAGCAGCAACTGCAGCCGCAGCGACACCTTGGCTGCCGGCAGCAGTGCTGCGACTACGACGGCGACAGCGTTGACTACCAGTAGAGGCCCAGTTAAAAATGCCCCCCACACCACCCCCCACACATCCAGCAGCGAGACAGGTTGCCACACACGCAACACTAGCAACATAAGCGAGACCACGACCACGACGATGAAGACGACGACGACGACGACCAGGACTAGGGCCACGGCGGCGACGAACACCAACAGCTCGGCCACCACCGCCACCACCGGCACCCAGTGCCAGATGCTGGTCAAGACGGAGCTCAAGGAGCAGGTGACGAAGATGCAGTACGAGGCGCACGTGATGCCGCCGCCCACCCCGCCGGAGAGCTACTGCGGCGCCAGCGACGAGAAGCTGTTGCTGGAGGAGCAGGAGCAGGAGGGGGAGCTGGAGCTGCTCCTGGAGAAGGGCTGTCGCCCGGGCGGCCAGCCGATCATCGAGGCCTACGACTTGACGTGCAGCACGACGCCGCCTCCGGCGGGAGTGCAGGCTACGGTCGGAACTACAGCAGCAGCAGCAGGAGCTGTGCCGCGCAAGGCCAGGATCGGGAAGAACATGGCCCGGGAAATGGTATACGCCGGACAGCAGCAGCCGGCGCTGCACAAGCTATCGGCCGCGGTGACGGAGACCGGAACCGGAACCCGTACCGGCACCGAGACCGGCACCGGAACGGACGCGCCGGAACCAGAGGTGCCTTTTGTACTTAAAGCGGAAATCAAAGCAGAGACCAAAATCAAAATCGAGCACGACGGCGAGGCGGCCGCCCAGGCCAGCAGCACACATATCAGTCAATTGCCGGACCTGAAGCCCACCATCAAGACGGAGCCGGAGCCGGAGCAGGAGCCGGACCTGGAGCAGGCGCCGGCGCCGGCGGCCAAGCAGCAGAACGAGAGCAGCGGAGCTGTGGCCAAGGTAGAGCAGGAACCAAATCAAAAGAAGAAGGAGCAGTCGGAGGAGCCGCAGGAGAAGGATCGGGAGGCGGAGCCGATGGACCAGGTGGAGGAGCTGATGCCCCCCGAGGCCAGTGGATCTGGCAGTGGCGGCGCCAAGCAGCGCCTCAACCTAATGGCCTCCACGTCCGGCTCGGCCTCCGCCGCCAGGAAGGCCGCCAAGCACCAAAGCTACAAGAGCCTCATCAAGCAGGCCGAGCCCAAGAACTACCTGTGCCCCGGGCGGAAGTTTGTACGCCGCCACGGGCGCGCTCCGGCCAAGTACGCCAAGCGGCGCCAGCAGCTGCTCGTCCAGCGGCAGCAGCGACTGCGCCTGCAGCAGCAGCAGCGACGCCGGCAGGAGCGCGAGGCGCTGGCGCACGCCACTGAGGTGGCCGCACCCTCGGAGGAGGTCGCGTTGCCCCCCAAGCAGCTGGACTCGGCCGCGGAGGAGCCGCAGACCACGCCCAGTGCCTCGCCCAAGAGGGCGCGCCCTCGCAAGCAGGAGATCGCCGCGCTGCACCTGCTGGACACGGCCCACAGTCGGGGCTACTTCAGCGACCCGGAGCTGAACCACAGCAGTCGCACCCAGGCGGCTTCGGCGGCAGCCAACGCGGCAGCAGCTGCAGCGGCGGCCTACGTCACGCCCACTTCTCTGGTGGCCGCCCACCAGCCGGCGCCCGGCGAGAAGCGTTCCAAGTCTGAGACCAAGAAGCCAGTGGCGGAGGCGGCAGCCCCGGCGGCGAAGAAGCCGCGCAAGCAGCCGTCCACCAAACCGACCAAGGGCAAGGGCAAGTCGAAGAGCAAGAAGCCAAATGCCGAGGAGGCCGAGGGCCCAGAAACGGTGGGAGTAGTGCCAGACTCAGGAACGGGGTGGGGGCTGCCGGCGGAGCTGTCGCCCGCCCAGGAGACGAACAACAATGAGTACCAAACGGCGGACTTGCAGGCCCAGAAGCTGGCCGAAGCCACAGCGCCCGCGGTGGTGGCGGAGGAGAGCGCTGCCGCTGGCGGGGAGCAACATTCCGAGGAGCAGCCCCAGTTCCGGATGCCCAGCCAGCCGGTGGTGCTGCCGCTGCCGCTACCGCCATCCACGCGGCACAACCCGGCGGCGACGAAGCGCTCGCGGTCGCGCAGCAAGTTCGGGAACCGCAAGCGGCAGAAGCAGCGGGCCGGCGGCGTTAGCTACGAGCTGGACGAGACCCAGCCGCCGGCCACGAAGGCCAACGTGGTGCCCAAGTGGAACAACGGCTGGATGTGGGCGGGCAAGCCCTTCCAGGGAGCAGTCTTTCTCAACGTGAGTGGCCAGTTGGGTTTCCTGGCTTTCTTGATTCTCTAATCCCTTTCCCTCCAGAGCGATGACCCCTTGGTGCTGCGCACCTGCTATCCGGCCATGCGGCACCGCGAGGGCGACATCATACGCACCCGGGACTGTGTCCTGCTGAAGGCCAACGAGGACAACGAGCTTCCGTACGTGGCCAAGGTGGCCCACTTGTGGCAGAATCCCGAGGATGGTGGGTGTTTCCTGGTCCTCTCCATAGACTTGTCTTTTCTACTGATCTCTTGACCTTTCAGGCGAAATGATGATGTCGCTGCTGTGGTACTACCGCCCGGAGCACACTGACCAGGGAAGGCAGCGCAACGACTGTCCGGACGAGGTCTACGCCTCCCGGCATCGGGATCACAACTCGGTGGCCTGCATCGAGGACAAGTGCTATGTGCTGACCTTCAGCGAGTACTGCAGGTGGGTTGTTCAATTCCTAGTCGCGAAGGAGAGTTTCCTAATCCCTTGAGCCACTCCAGGTACCGTCGCCGCCTGCGTGCCGCCGAGGAGGACGTCGAGGATGTGAGCATAGTGCCCCGGCGGCCCAGCAGCACCACCGCCCCCTGCTTCCCGGTGCGCACAGTGCCGGACCACACCAACCCGGAGCTGGTGATGTTCTGTCGCCGGGCCTACGAGTTCCGGACGCGACGCCTCCTGAAGCTGCCCCAGAAGAACGGACTCGTGAGCAACTACAGCTAGCGCAAGGCCCTGGGCGCGGTCGCAAAGGCCCTGGAGCAGGACGCGAGTGTCCTGGAGGCGTAGATGCGTAGGGACACTAGAATAAATTCACGTTGCAGGTGCGGTGGCACGGGGAGGAGCCGGGGATAGAGTCCTGGCGGAGAAAAGAGAGCAGGTTGCATGTTTTTTTGTTTTTTATCATCAGTCTACAGTCTCCAGTCTACAGTCTACAGTCTACAGTATTGTTAAAGATATGAAAGTACTTTTTTTGCGCAAGTCCTTGGAAGGATGCATCGAACTCTGTGCTGGCAGTCGTTGTTCCTAACCAACTCTCGTTCGTAATCGGCGGAGTTCGGTGCCCTTCGCACGTTGGCAGGACAAACACACAGGACAACAGGAGAACACAACACGAAACATGAGACACGACCAAGATGTAGGCAGAAGCTTTTGACGATGGGAAGGAGGAGGGAGGCGGGAAGGATACGCACGCAACTGCTGGGAGAAAGCATTGAATACATTATACTTTTTAAATAATTTATTTATTCCGATCACCCCCGATCCCGACCCAGACCCAGACCCCGATCCAGACCCAGACCCAGACACACACCCACACAGCACACACACCTTTGTTATTAAGTTGTATGTATTTATTATCATTATTATCGAGTTAGTCAACATTCTGTGTAGAGATTTCCGTTGGCCCGCTCATGCCTGGCCGGGAGAGATGCATTTGGTCCCTGGAGGGAGGGAGGGCCCGAATAGACCCCACAACCATTTCCAATTCTTCAGTATTGCCCGATACTTTGCACAGCCTCTTGAAAGACTTGATATCCCGATTCCTGCACGACTATTCGGGCCCAGACCGACCAGAGGGGGCGCATCTCCCCCCACGGCAGAAAAGCATACTCAAAATTCGAAATTCCCCCCTTTACTCGATTAGATTTATTCGTTGAAAGCCCCCAGACCTTAACGATACCTTAAAGAAAACCTTAAACCTACTGATGCTCAGGCAAAACCATACTTTTGCGCACAGACAGCCGGAATATTCTACGAAAATGAGATTTCTGACTCCCCAGGCCCAGGCCCAGGCCCAGGCCCAGGCCCAGGCCCAGGCCGAGGCAGAACTGGAACCCCTGGACACGGGACTTCCTACTGGGCGCTGCTGCTATATTATAATCACTTTTTTTTCGTTGTTGTTAGTTTTTGTAAGCGAGTGAGAGAAAGCACACACACACTTTTCTAACAATTTTGTACTTTTTTTTATTTTTATGTTTTGTGAAATTTGAAATTTCAGCTTTCTTTTTATTTTTATTCTTTTTCTGACAAAAAAAAACAATTCTTTAGAAGAGAAACAAAGAAAAACAACAAACAACAAGTCACATTATAAATATAAACGTATATTTAGATCTAAAAACTAAACATCCTTATGCTTAAAATAAAAAGAACTTTTTTTTTGTAAAACCTTAATTTAATTTAGTTTTAAAGCCTAGCGTTTTTAGTTGCTAAGTTGGAGTACAGTTTGTTTTATACCAAATACACGCAGAGAAATAAAAACCTTAAACCAATTTAAGAAAAAACCTATTTATGCACACCCCCCCACCAACCACCAACCACCCCCAACCCCACACACACACCTATGCACTTGTGTATAATTTTATAAAGATATTTAAATATAAATTACATGTATTATTTTTTAAACCAAAACCGCACGCTATTTTGTTTTTTGGGGAGCGTAGAGAATGGGCGTATAGGCCAAGTGTAGGCCAGTGTAGGCCAGTGTAGACCAGTGTAGGCGTGGCAAGCTTAGAGAGCTACGAGTAAAAATAGATGGAAGCTTTGGAATAGAATGTGCAAAAGGATAGAAATCGTATATAAGAAACATTTATAGGGAGCATAGCCATACATATGATACAGATACACACACACACACTAACAAACTAACAAGGATCCATTAATACGTATGTATACCTAGGAAGCTGAGAAGGACGAATAATTCAATTAGTGAAAAACCAACAAGCAACAACCAATTGTAGCCTAAATTACTAAAACAAACATTATATTTGTACGACTTATATATATATATATACACAATACATATACATAACATATACATAGAAGTCTATATGTACTGGAGGACATGCACACAGGCAAACACACACATACACGAACACAAAAGTATATATTTCTAGAGGCAACTCGAAGGAACCACAGGAAGCAGAGAACCCCCTTTCAGAACCGATTTGTATTATAGAAGGCACCACAGTCGGGCCCCACTAGGCGGAACACGCACCCACGCCCCTTCTAGCCGAAGAACGTTTTTCTCCGGTTCCTGTTTCGAATTAGGAAAACCGCAATGTTGATCCATTCTATTGTAGCTCTTAGGGAAGTCCGATTCGGTTCGAACTCCAAGCCCTATCACTTTGGTCCCTCAGCAGTGTCGTCACTATGGACAGATGTCCGCGCAGGTGACGAACGGCATGCCAGTTGATAGCTGTCTGCTCTTATCATTTCCATTCCAAGTACTATTTCCTTTCGAGTCTAAACAGAAGTACATTTCACGAAATAAGCAACAAAATAAATTAAAGAACACACCCATAAAAGTAAGAACCAGGAGCAGAATAATGAAAACGATTCACAGGATGAACAAACAAACAACAAAAACAAAACCAAGATCAATAAAACAAATCCAATATAAATTTTGTTTATTACTAGACAAATAAATGTATTTTTTGGCAGATTACAAATCAAAGTGTTTTTCTCTTTAATTTGGCGAACTATATGGTGCCAAAATATGGTGGGAACTAAGTTTTAAGGGGTTACATACAGTTGTACCGCACAAAAAAATGGAATTTTATCGATTTTTCTTTGACACCATAGAAAATATTTATGAAAAATGTTTTATCGACGTTGTTTAGTCCATGTTTCTGGGTACTTATTTAAATTTTTTCATAAAAAAGTATTACATAATAAAAATGTTATACCCGAATTCCCGGATCGTCTTTTTTCGATGGTGTCTGGCGGTGGACATGATATCCCGAAAACGGTTCATCCGAAATCCAAAATTCAAAAAAATTTAGTTAGTATGTATATTTTATTGTCTAGTCCGTGAACGAGAGATTTTTTTAAATTTTAATTAACAACAAAATGGCGACGTTTTTAAAAAAAAATGTACTTTTTTAAGGTATAAGATTTTTGATTTTTATGCTTTAAAAAAGGAGTTTTCAAGTGGTCAAAATTTGGTGTTGATCGGATAAGTAGTTTTTTAGTAATCGTGTCCACCGCAAAGGTAATTTCCCAAATAAAAGATTCTGAGATAATCGCGTTTAAAGTTTCAAGTTTGTTTAAGGGGGGACATCTGAGTAGAATTTTGAAAAAATCGAATTTTTTTTTTTCGCTTAACAAATTCTTTAGGGTCTTAAAATGACATATCAAAAGATAGATTCCGGCAAAAGTGTCTAAGTGTCTAAATTTTTCATTCTGCGGCGATGCCTCACAGGTATATCTCACAGTACTTAAAACTTTAAACGCGTTTTTCTCGAAACCGCTTTTTTTGAGTTGGCCGAACACATAACTCAAACAACTCTTAACCTATCGATCTAAAATTGTGCTAGTATACTCAGAATACCTATGTCTATCGACACAAAATTTTTTTATATTGTTAACTTTTTTTTTTATCAACAATTTTGTGACGTTTTTTGTTCGTGAAAATTGAAAATTTTGTTCAATCACTCACTATTTTGCAAAAAATCAATATATCGAAAAAATCCTATGTGTGTCGATAGCCGTTGAGATACAGAAACTAACCAAACTTGATTTTTTGTTCTAGATCAAAAATTAAGGACCATTAAGGACCAGGTGTTCGGCCATGGACCCCCTTTAAAAAATAGGGCCTACGAATAAGGGATGCAGGGCCGCCATTTTGTTTTCGATTTATTAAAAAAAAATTTTATTGTGTACTTTAAATATAATATAATAAAGCCTCATTTAAAAATTTTCGATTAGCTGTTTTGATTTGGCCAAAAAAAATTCCAGAAAATCCGTTTTTTTGGCCTGTTACTCAGATGTCCCCCCTTAAGTTTTATATGCAGGTATTGCGCTATAAATAGCTACAACTTCCGTTCTAATGCTCCGATCCTTCTTAAGGTTTGAAGCTGCTTAAGGATACCCGGTTGGAGCCTTCAGGAGAATGAAGGTCAGCACTTAAACACATGTATCAAAGAAGGAAAATAGATAATCCCCTTGGGCTTCCATATCCAAATCACCGGTTGTCGGGCCGCCATTGCTGCTTCGAGGAAATACCACCAGATTCCATGACAAGTCACAGCCGAGGGTGGACTTGGATCGGGTAGTAATGTCTTTGGTCGAGCCAGAAGTAGCCGAGACAAACGGCGGTAAAGTGCTTGGTGTTAGCGAGATGACAAAAAATTGTACATATATAATAGTTTATTGTTTTATGATTTAGAAGTTTTAAATTAGAACAAATCATTTTTCTACATTCTCCTTAATATAAGGCTGAGATGGGTAGATTGCCGCCTTCCTCTAGGTCTTTTGAAATTATTATGCTGAATTTATATATATCTATATAATTATACAGATATGTATGTATATATAGACTTTTGAAAGGCCTGTTTGAACAAAATCGTATTTTTGCAGCCTTGCATTCAACATTATTGGATTATTCCCTTCAAATGAGGACTTAAAAAAAATAGAAAGTAACAGACAGAATAAAATGTTATCGAGGATATTATCGGGATATGATTATATCAGTGGTCGGCACCACTGATATATAAATGTGTGAAACGTCATGCTCACAGCCTACTTTCTGCTATTCGTTACTAATACTAATGCGTTAAAATCATATCAATGTATTGGGGTGCCGACCACTGGTATAAAAGCAGGTGCTGTACCCCGAGAATCAGTTGCTGTCCGTCTTCAAAGCAGTTGGGACCTCATTTATTCTTCTTTTATGATTTATTTTAATTTTTGTTTTCATTATTTTGCATTTGTTATGAGTAATGAAAACAATCTTTTGAATAATCTGACTTTCTGTGTTAATTTGTTCATTAAATATTATTTTTACTTACAAATTTTACATTTAACAATTTTGAGAATTCTAATTAAGAGCAATATCTGTAAGTTCGTACGCGTGACTTTCTTCAAACATGAACTTACAGAGATGAGCAATTTTGATAATACTAGCGAGACGTGAGTTTCTTTGCCTTAATGAAAATCAGGTGTGCTAGCATCCATCTCTTTGGCAGTAAACTCAGAAATGGAGGTGAGTTAATAAGGAGGAAAAGGAAGTAAAAGTTTATTATATATGTTTAGTTTATTAATATATGGGCATTTCCTGGGGTCGCGAACGTACGTTCGTACGCAATTAGTGCCCAAAAATTAAAGAAAAAAACATTTTCTGATACTTTTTTTTTTGTTTCCGATAGCATTTGGTGAGTTTTTTTCTTAGTGTAAATTATGGTTCTTATGGATTTTTCATTTTCACAATATTGGCAAAAAACATGAGGTCGCGAACGTACGCGAAATGGAAGTCAATTTGGCTTGCTCTAGCAAAATCAAAAAATCTGCGAATTGGAATGAAATATTTTAATGCAATAACTTTACTTTTAAAATAGAGGGATGTAGCTTTCTATCGAGTATATTTCCAATTAAATATCTCCATTAGTTTTTTTTAAATTAAATTAAGTACGGGTCGTGAACGTACGAGTCGCAAACGTACAATTTTTTTCACATATACAATTTTTTTTTTTTTTTTTACCTCTTTGTTTTTATAAATAAATTTATATTTTCTTAAAAAATCATGTTTCACCATTTTTTTTTTATATTAAAAATTAAATTTTAATTTTATTTTTAATTTTAAATTACCTTCAATTGCCACTTCTTTTATCCATCTACAAATATTTATAAGCTTGTTAAACAAAAAAAGAAACATTTTTTTTTCTAAATAAATCAAGATTTTGAGGGTGTTAGAAAAATTTCAAACACGGTTTTATACTATACTCGACCTAATGAACAATTCCTACTAGGTCTCTTCAAAAGTTCAAAATCACTGTCGCACTGTGTTATTATTAAAAGATTTAG